GCTTTCCATAAAATCCCAATGCACACCCTGGCTTTCATGAGCAAATTTGTTTTCTATTTACCAAAAAAGGGGCAGAGTATGCTCTGTGATCACTTTGAAGCAGCTCAATGCTTACCATCATTTCAAGAGATTTACTCCAGCCATTGGATTGGATGGTCAAGCTGGACATACGAGATGCCTGTCTCAGGGTACCCATTGCAGAGGTTCATCAGGACTTCCTACAGTTCACCTGGCAAGGCAGGAAATGGTGGCTCTGCTGCCTTCCCTTCAACCTATCTTCCACTCTTTGGTGCTTCACCAAAAAAGCCGGCTATAATCCTCCTCCTCCTCAGTCATGGGATTCATCTCATAATTTACCTAGACAATATCCTTCTGCTTGCTCTAGGCACACGAGGTGCCCCTTTGGGATGACGCCCTTATGGTAAGTGTTGTCAATCAATCTTATTTCCTACGGGCAGTGGGGGGTAGATTCACCCTTTTTTCCCATGTGTGGTCCATGATCTTCAGATGCTTGGGTCCTCCAAACAACACAGGGTTATTACATAGATTTAGTTTCTCAGACTATTTTTCAAAACAAGATGCAGAATTGGCCACCACAGAGATACACGATCTGAGGCGAAGGCATGCCATCAAAGAGATTCCGGTCTATACCCCGGGTTATATAAGCAACCTGTTTCTGGTTCCCAAAAAGGGAGGAGGTGTTTGGCCGGTTATAAACTTAAAACAACTCAACAGTTATGTTGTTCACAACCACTTCAAGATGGAAGGTGTGCATTGCTTAAGAGATTTACTCCAACCATCAGATTGAATGGCCAAATTGGATCTCCAGGATGCCTACCTCACAGCTCCTATCACAACCTGCCATCAAGATTTCCCACAGTTCAGATGGCAAGGACGAAAATGGAGATTCCGATGTCAACCCTTTGGGCTATCATCGGCCCCTTAGTGCTTCGCAAAAATCATGAAGCCCGTAGTCACCCTTCTAAGGAGTCGAGGTGTACGCCTTATAATTTACTTGGACGAAATCCTGATTCTCAGGTTTTGGACCTTGAACTTATTGCAAAACCTGAGCTTCCTTCTCAATTGGGAGAAATCCAACCTAATTCCCACTCAACGTATCGAATTTCTGTGTCTCAGTCGATCCCACCCTTCAGACCCTTCATCTTCCCAAAGTGAAACTATCCAGCATCAAAAAAGAGATCAGACATGCACTCACAAGGTCCCAGTTCTGATTGGACTTTTGGCAGCCTCTGTCCAGGATATATTCCTAGGCTCCCTTCACTATCGAGCTCTTCAAAGATTGCAGGCCTCTTGCCTCAGAAAGGGCACGTCTTTCAAAAACATGGTGACTCTCGATATGGAAGCAAGGAACGAACTCCACTGGTGGCTCCTTCCCATGGAAGCATGGAATGGGTGCGCCATATTTGGTTCAGCTCCAGACCGGGTCATAAAGTCAGATGCAAGCTTATACGGTTGGGGTGCTCGCTGCGGAGACATTACCACAGGAGACAGATGGTCATAAACAAAACTTCACATCAATTGCCTAGTACTGTTGGCAGGATCCTTTGCAATCTCCCACTCCGGCACAATGCACCATCCTCCTGAAGATGGACAATGTATCGGCAGTCCGATACATCAATCATTTGGGAGGCACAAAATCCAGACTTCTGGCGAACATGGCTCAAGATTTCTGGCTATTTTGCCTGTCCCATGGCATCTCGGTTACAGCACATTACATCCCGGGCCTCTCCAATACTACGGCTGACTGGTATTCCCGCCACCTAAGAGACTCCAGCGATTGGCAGTTGCATCCAGATGTTTTAAAAGTAATCTGGGACACTTAGGGTCCATTACACTTGGATCTTTTGCTTCAAGCTTGAATACCCAACTGCCCCACTTTTTTAGCTGGAAACCAGACCCCAAGGCATGGGCAACAAAAGTTTTCTCCGAAGAGTGGCCTCCCAGAATAAATTAAGATTTTCCTCCGTTTGCGCTCATCCCTCGTTGCCTTCTACATCTAAGTCACTACACAGGCACTTTGGTAATCGGGACTCTGTGGAGACCATCTCAACTGTGGTTCCAATCTCTTCTAGAGATGTTGATCGATTCTCCACAGCTTCTACCGTCCCTCGATTGCCTCCTCCAGAATCCAGATGGTCAGTATTCTCCTCTTATCCTCACGAGTTCACTACATCTCATGGAGTGGCTAATTTCAGGAGACCCTGGACTGTCAACAGAGTTCGCAAGCGACACGAGACATGCTCATCGATCTGCTCGGGGCTCATAGAATAATTGGTGCCTTGAATGGAATATGGATCCCGTATTGGCTCCTTTGACAGCTATCCTGGAATTCCTGACTTCCCTTGTTATCTCCAGTTGTTTCAGTTTCGTTTATTGATTATAATTTGGTTCCTATGTTATCAGGATCGCAAAAAAGAGGAAGTAGTTGGTTTGGCTCAGCCCGTTATACTATGGAAGAGTTGCCGATTGGCTGACATTGTTGCTATGGGACTATGATTCTTACAGTTGTTCTACTGTTTTCTAATAATTTTTTTCTTTGCTGCTGAGGGAAATAAAGAAAGAGTGCAGCATAATACTCGCCTTTGTGTCATTAATAATATCACGACTTTACGTCATGTTAATAGTAAAATCTGGGAATTCTTAGTTGTATTGCTGTTATAGTATGTGCCTTCATGTTTAGTCCAGAGTACAGTTAGATTGTTGGCGCTTTATAAATATTAATAATAATAATAATATATAAGACAGTTGTGCTTCTTATTTATTATATCATATTTTCTAGAGTCATTGTCATTGATAAGTAAGACGATTATGTTTCTGTTATATTGCTGTTCCTTAATCACATGGTATTACCAGATTTTCTTGTTTCTTTTAGCGTGACCTTCCTTGCAAGACCCTTCTGGATCCTGTTCTCTGATCCAGTCCTGTTGGTTTCTGGCTTGTTTGGTTGTTTTCCAGCTTGTGGTGTTATGTTTCTCCTTTGTGTTCTCAATAAAGATGAAGTATTTACCTATGTACCACCTACTATAGGATAAGGATATTGCTGATTGGCTGTTCGTGTTACTAGGCGGATATTGTAATTGTGATGTTTATATTTATTTTCATTTGCTATTTCTTTGCTGAGGGAAATAAAGAAAGAGTGCAGCATAATACTCACCTCCGTGTCACTAATAAAATCCCGACTTTACATCATGTTAATAGTAAAATCTGGGAATTTATGATGATATTATATTATACTAATATATTTTGCAGTGCTGCATTATAGCATCATATAATTAACATTTTAGAACTGCTTTTTACGGAAACAAAAAGTACAAAGGGCACTTTTCTAGCATGTTTATTATTAAGAATTTAATTACAACCATAGTACAGCTAATGAAAATCTATTTATATGCAAACTGACTAGCCAAAACCTTGCTGCTATTAGTTGTATATGCAAACCCCTATTTAAAGAATGAAGGGGATTGGGACAGGATGGTAACCTGCCTAGGGCTCAGAACCATCTTAATCTTAGAGAGAGAGGTGTTCAATAAATTTTAAGGCCAAAGGGGAATCAAATGTCCTGCAGGAAAAACCAGCAAGACTCCCCAGCATTACAATATAAATAATTGGCAATAGCATATATTTTTTAATATCTAGAATTTGGTGACTAATCTGTCTCTACAAGTCCACACTCACACTGATCTGAATTATAGCAAATATTAAATCCCAAAAGTTATTTTATTGTAAAATGCTACTACAGTACTATTAATGCTTACGTTGTAATAACGCCTATGCATGAGCTTTTAGAGCCACATATATCTAGATAACTCATTGATAACTTAATCTCTTTCAGTAACTTAAGTTGCTGTACCTGCATTTAAAGCATAATATAAATGTGTGCACCCCAAATAAAGAAATAACTAGCAAGTAGCAATGATGGGGATCAAACATAAAGTGGATTATGTATGATTAACAGAATTATTCAAGTGGCAATTCAAAGCGAATTTGATGTGAATTTTAAACCTAAGGTTATAATAGCTGGACTGGAAATATTCTCTAAGTCAGGTATGCTTCCAGTAAGGGCCGTCTTAAGAAATTTTTACAGCACCCCTCCCTGGTCATAACCCTTCATTTATGTATTGTGTGCATATAGGGGCGTAGTGTTTGTATAGGGGATTTATGAAATTAATACTTAGTTAAAAAAAACATATTCATTCCCCCTTCCCTGTTGATACCTTGCAGGAAGAGGGGCATGCTAAGCTTTGGTGGTCCAGTGTGCTGGGAATCTGGTCTACCCCTCCACTGGGGGCAGACCATGAGTAACTGTCTCCAAAACCCTGGCACAGTGTCAGAACTTTCCTGTGGTGGTAATCCACAGCAATTTCAGGTCAAAATAGCCAAGCTTGGAGCATAGCTGACTTGGAGATTTAAAAATTTTTTGTTACATTTGAAATTAACTGAATTTGGGAAAATTCACACTTTAGTTAATTACCCTGTAAACATTATGGACTTTACACTTCTTCCCAAAACTAAATAATCTATAAAAAATTAATTTACCTACTAAAGAAAATTTAAAATGTCAATTATGTCTGAAGAACACATTTTACAATAAAATAAAACATTCTATAAAACGTGATATTTACATCTGTGTTCTTGGATTCCCAATAAATATTTTTTTTTGCTTGTTTTACTTTTTTAATTACAAAAATAATGTACAAAATAATTACAATATGAAAAAAAAAGGTTATTTAATTTCATATTTTGAACAAATGTCTGATATTATTTCCAAATGCAACTAAGCAAAAAATATTTCCATAATCACAATTGTAAGCTAAAAAACATTGAGCATATAAGCATACGCTTAATTATTGAAGAGGCACATCAGCAAAATATTTTATTTTGTCATATATTATAACACTGTAATGAATTTATTTAATAGGCAAAAAACAAGAATATATTTTCTATTTGAATATATTTAATTAAATGGAAAACCAGAAACCCTTCATAAACAAAATCCATTAACATTTGGCAGTTATACTTGAAGATCCAACAGACGTCCCCAAAACACGCAATAGTTTTCTGCAAATATCTGCTTTGGGAAAAACCATCTTAAGGCAGCCCAGTCATAATGCTGTTTACATGGAATATTTAACCCCAAAGTTGTAACCAATATAAGAAGGGTCTGTTATAGAAGTATTTAATGATAGTCAAACTCAATATTGCTTTATTTTACAGTATAACTGCTTTCGACTGAGTTATAGAAATCTTTGCTTTAGTGAAACTAATGTTAAGAGGCTAAAAATAGTATTTACATATGATTCTTTGGAAATATAATATCATTTAGTTAATTGTACATCAAACATTTTTTTCTTCTGATGAAAGGGGTCATTGTACGACTTTGATATAAACTGTCAGATGTTTCTAAATGCACCTCCCTTAAACAGTCCACAACTGAACTTGGAATTCTGAATCTTAATTAGATCATAAAAGATTATTGTCATGCATATTTTTGGTTATAAGTGCCTGAGCAACTTTTGGACCTAGAATAAAATAAACAATGTTTCACTTTGCAAAACTCCACCACGGTTGCTTGTCAATTTAGGTGTTGGTATGAATTTCTGATTAGAGAAATTCAAACCAATATATTTGGTTGTTTGCCAATTTAGAAACATTAATGCTGTTTGTATAGCAACATATTTATGCAGTTGCTAAATGATTTGTGCTCAAATATGCTCTGAAGGATTAGCCTGAATAGCTGAACGTTGTGCATTGTATCGAATGTCAATATGGCTTATGTGCCTGAAGTATAAACTTTCAGGGAAAAAGTTAAACAAATGATTTACAAATGAAGGGATTTTTAAATAACAAAATATGGCAAAATTATAATTAATAACAATGTGAAATGGCCTTGTTACATGTTTGCCAGAATAACTCATAGTCCTTGGATAAATTATGGTAATGACTAAAATCTGATAATGTGAAAGCTTTATACAAGACAATTTCCAGTGGGCAGAAAACACTAAAATGGAAGTGAAGTGTCTTATATCCCCTTAAGGACTGAGCCAAATGTACACGTTTTGATCAAAATAAAACATAAAATAAAACTTGGAATTCATGCTATATGTCTATTCAACCATAATTCACCTCTTTCATATTAAGTGCACCCACACTTATTATATATAATTTTATTCAGGAGAAACAGGGCTTTCATTTAACATCAAATATTTAGCTATGAAACATAATTTAATATGAATAAAATATAAAAATAAAATGTGATAAATTAAAAAATGCTGTTTTTTTTAGTTCTGCATGACATTTTAACTGTGAATGTCATAATACTGTTTGCTTTTACTGCAATAAAATACACATATTTGTATTCAACAATGTCTCATGTGTAAAACAGTACCCTCTATGTACAGGTGTTTTGGGAAGTTACAGGGTCAAATATAGCATGTTACATTTTTCATTTTTTTCACATTGAAATTCGCCAGATTGGTTACGTTTCCTTTGAGACCGTATTGTAGTCCAGGAATGAGAATTACCCCCATGACGGCATACCATTTGCAATAGTAGACAACCGAAGGTATTGCAAATAGGGTATGTCCAGTCTTTTTAAGTAGCCATTTAGTCACAAACACTGGCCAAAGTTAGTATTAACATATGTTTGTGTGTGAAAAATGCAAAAAATGAATTTGAACGCCAAATTTGGCCAGTGTTTGTGACTAAGTGACTACTAAAAAAGACTGGACATACCCCATTTGCTATAGCTTGGGTTGTCAACTTTTGCAAATGGTATGCCATCATGGTAATTCTCATTCCTGGATTACCAAAGGCAACGTAACCAATCTGGCAAATTTCAATGTGGAATAACTGAAACACAAGCCTTATATTTGACTCTAACTTTTGAAAACACCATAAAACCTGTACATGAGGGGTACTGTCATACTCAGGAGACTTCGCTGAACACAAATACTAGTGCTTCAAAACCGTAAAACATGTCACAACAATGATATCATCACTGTAAGTGCCACTTGTACGTGTAAAATGCAAAAAAAGTCACTTTCACTGATGATATCATCGTTGTAATGCATTTTACTGTTTTGAAACACTAATATTTGTATTAAGCAAACTCTCCCAAGTAAAACAGTACCCCCCGTGTGCAGGTTTTATGGTGTCTTAGAAAGTTACAGGGTTAAATAGTGCTAAATAGTGCTAGCAAATGAAATTCTCTGGACTTTCTGCCTGGGTTATCAGGCAGGTCACGCAAACTGTAATTAATAAAATGGCTTCATTATGTAAACATATTACATAAATATATACTTAGAATTAATATATATATATATATATATATATATATACACATATATATGTATATATAATTTTTTAAAATTATTTTTATTCATATATATATATAGTGATATATACATATATTTATGTATATAGATATATATAGTTCATTGTAAGTATATTTTGATATATATATATATATATATATATATATCTCAAAATACTGTTAGAACGAAATTACACATTTTAAAAAAATATATTTCGTTCTAACAGTATTTTGAGATATATATATATATATATATATATATATTATTAAAATACACTTAGTGTATGTGTGTGTGTATGTATATATATATATATATATATATATATATGATCTAAGTATATATTTTTTTATTTTACACTGCGTTTAAACTTTTTTTTACTTTATTTCAGGCAGCAGGGGGACTACCTGTCATTCCAGGCACTCCCCCTGCTGGCACTGGTATGGACTGGTATTCAGTCCATGTGATTGTGAGGTCCTCGCAAGGATGCCATCCTGGGATGCCAGGTAAGTCCCCCCACTGCGATTGCAGGCAGGGGATCGCCGGTGAGCAGGTAAGTGGCCAGGACAGCAGGGACATGCTATGCCGCCCTCTGGTGTTTAGAGCCTTGTCTCCAAGGACGGCATAGTATGCCCGCCATCCTTAAGGGGTTAATACCATACCGTGCCTAGAAAAAAAATGTAAATCTGAAAAAGATAATACACAAAAATACTATCTAGCTTATTTTTCATACTGCATTGTGTTACTAGGTAATAAGTCTATCATATACATTTATTTTCTTTTTAATTTAACAATATGCATTGCATCCAAAAAAGAGATTCCAATCCATCTGTACTTGGGCACTTGGTTGTGTTAGAAAATAAGTGCAAAGTTCTTCTTGCTGTGTGGAGTTTTGACTTCATATATTTATTTAATTTTATTTCTGAGCACTAAAAATAAAATAGAGATCATGATAAAAGTTTGTCCTTGTTCTTCTGGGTTCACCATTATTGTGATGAAATTATATGCATTTTGAATTATACAGTGTGTGATCATACATAGGAACCCATAAAACTGCTTTCCTGCTTAAAAAGAGCACACATGTTCATCAACTGTAGATACCATTCTGCAATTCCGTACTGTCTTTCTTAATAAATATTTATTCAGTGTTTATGTATACTTGTTTCTAAGTCATGTCAAGTGGTATACTTCACTTTAGAGCCACCCGCTGCGGCACAAGAAGTAGTTGTTACTGCAGAAAAAGCTGCACCCTGACTGTCAACAAAAAGAGGGTCCAAGCATGCAACTTTAGCAGCAAAGAATGAGTGAATACAATGAAGTACTGCAAAAAGATTGGAGAACTCCAATTCCTGTAAAGAAAAGAGAAGAAAAACATTCAGTATATGTTACAAACCTATATATACTCCTTTGTGAAGTCTACTTCTTACATACTATATTGTATTTGCCCCAATTGTTGCCCTCACAGGGAACCTGTTTCACTTCATGGTTTGCACAAGGGCTCTCTATACCTGGGTTCCAGACCTAACAATAACAGACCTCAGTTCCTAACATCCAGATAACCATCTTATGAGGAGTTTATTATTGGAATAAGTTATATGAACTATTATCCCCATAATAAAATGCTAGTCTCCATATATACTTAGGGATTCAGCCAAATTTGAGCCTATTAGCTATTTTGCCAAATAAACTAAATTACAACCGAACCATATACCTTATCCCAAAGCTACAGAAATGGCCAAAGCTTTTTGATAGGTTGTCTTGTAATTAATCACAGTTTCAGGACACGGAATCGATAGCCAGGCCAAGATCAGGATAACAGAGAGAGCAAGAATAGTCAAACAAGCCAAGGTCAGAAAACAGGAAATCCAATATACACTCTCAGGTAACAAAAACCATGACAGGGCAAGGAAACAAGGACAACCAGCGAGTATATATTACCCTATACTGGGTAGTAATTGGTCACAGAGGACCGTGATGTCGCAAGCCTGTATACATCATGAAAAAGCGACACATGGGCTGACACTATAAAAGGAGACTAATGGAAGGGGTCGACATTATATGTGATGTCATGATAAAGCACCAGGAAATTAGGAATAAATGTGTGTGCATCAGAACTCAGAAAATACATCATTTCTGTGATTGCATGGCGCCGCAAGGGACAGATATTGTGACACACATCAGCCAAATTATAAACAGAATCTGGATATACTCCAGATTCCTTTTAGTGTGTAGATTTTTATTATTAAGTATTCCTAATTTAAAATTCAATGTGTGATATGGTCATTGCTGCTGCCCAAGAGTAGTGGGAGTCTGAGCACAGGACTTATGTTTGTGTATTTGTATTCACTTTTGTATCACACAGCCATGTTACAATGCTGCCACCTATCCCATGTGTTCCTTATTAAGGGTTAATAAGCATGTAGGGGTTTGGAAAAATAACCCTCTCTGTCTCATTAGCGATTTCTTTGCCTGAAGCTCAAGGTAGCAAGGTGAATTGTTAGTGTAGGATGCACCTAAGAGGTTTGCCTTGATGTGGCAGGTGGTCTTACATCTAATGGCCATTGACGTTACTAAATAACATCCATTTGTTTAAAAATATGCATAGGGATTTGGGCTTGTGCACAGATAACTTTTTTTTCTTTGCTTGTTTTGTATGTAAAATTCAACAATGCCTACTGTAAGAAACAGCTATTAGCTCAAATTACAATATAGATATCAATCACATTACATATCTCAATGAAACATACATACACATTCACATTTAAAGGTTTTGAACTGCTTGTAATACATAAATGATATAGCCATTACATAATTAAAATATACAAATATATCCATTGTGGCATCTAGTCTTGCTGATTTATTATACAATAGAGCCATATGGTTTGTGCTGTCAATGATAGGCTACTTTTATATTTAGCTAAGCAAATGCATTTCTAAAACCATACATCAAATCATATTGTACTCCAAGAATATCTATTTCCGCATGTCGTAGATTTCCTGCAACTAAAATCAGCATGAGGTTTTATATCCTAAAGACATAAAAAAAAAAAAAAAAAATTCATGAATTTGCTGAACAAAATTTGACCACAGAACCAAATGCGTCTGGCTGTGTGCAAGGTACCATTGCAACACATCTTAGCCTAGAAATTCACAGATATCTTCGGGGAGATATTTATGTCTATTATTGCCTAAGATACAGGGAAATGCCTTTGAGAGCTTAACACAAAGAATGCAGGAAGCCAAGCAAAACTGTAAAAAAGCACTAATAGCTGAACAGATATTTAATGCCAAACAACCTGGATTGTCACTTTGAGTAGAAATTGAGGCTGCAGAGATAGAATATCTTGAACATCTGGAATAACTGCATGAATAGATTAGCTGGTTATTGATCTTGCTACAATATTTTGACTGGAGTGTAAAAGGGAATTGATAATAAAATATATATGATAAATTATCAGCATGCCAGCTATTCTAATAAAATTAAGATATATTTGAACTATTTTTTCACATTTGAACGTTGGGAGCGATACATTAAGAATCTAATTTATGTTTAAATCCTTAAATTTATTTCTATGTCGCTTAATTTTGTTTAAGGTATCCTAATAATAATAATAACAATCAAGTAGTATGAAATTTTTTCCTTAAAAGATATTTTAAAGCACTTATTAAAATGCGTTTTAGTTAAGAATTAGTAGCTAAATAACAGAAATGCAGATAATACCATTAGTCACCGCAGTACTCTGACTTATCGGGGTTAAACACTTAAAAGAAGGAAAAAAAGAGAGGAAGATCTCCTCCAGTGCAGGACAATGACTTGCCAGCATGGTCACGATATACAGAGATTTGCTTAACTATGTCACAGATGGGTTAAGTTTGTCATCACAAATAACTTTATATTAAAGGGATACTATATGTGCCAGGAATGTAAAGCTCCCCCTGCCTCCCCCCTCGGCCGCGAGTACATCAGACCTCCCCATAGGAAAGCATTGAATCAATGCTTTCCTATGGTGAAAAATCTGAGGCTGCATGTCCTCATGCAGAGCGTGAGGACGTCCAGCAACAGTCACCGGACCAAAGGTCCGTTAGGATCCAGGAAGCGCCTTCAGTGGCTTTCTGGAAGACAGCTACTGGAGGAAGACTTAGTGCTGCAATGTTTAACATTGCAGCACTAAGTGCTATAGGAACACTGTACCCAGACCACTTCAATGAGCTGAATGTTCTGTGTGCCTATAGTGTCCCTTTAAGATCCATATCTTCAATAAGAAAATATGTAAGACATAATTTGATAACACTTTACTTTTACTTAAACTTTAACAATTTATAAGTAAACAGGGATGAAAATGGCCTCATCATTATCAAATACTGCCTAGTGTCAGCTAGATATGAAATAAGACTTGTTGATTTTTGGTAAAGATTGGATATGCACATTAATAAGACTGCAGAAATGTCTGTCCATTTTTATCTTATTTTTCATCTACAGCCATATTGAATTTCCACTTGTAATGTTTTAAAACTGATAATAAACATTTCTCTAAAAAAATACAAACTATTTATAATGGAGATTATTCACAAAATCAAGAAATGTTGGAAACTAACAAGAAAATTGAAATATAATTAGAAAACTGAAAAAATGTTTAAACCAAAATAGCAAAGACAGAAAACATCTCCAGGTCATAATTTTCTCCCATAATGTAATTTTGTATTAAGAAAAAACAGCATTAAGTAGTAGACTTGTGCAAAATAAATGTTTGGGGGGCGGTGGGGGGGGGAGTGGGTGGGGACTGAATTTCATCCATGTGCTGTTTCGTCCATGTGATTGTTTGAGAATTTTTTTTTCCAATTTGCCAAAAGGGTGTGGAAAATAGACAAATCAGTGTATTGCAAAATATACACATAATATAAATAGTATGTATATATTCAGCAGTTAACTAATAGGTGCATTTTCACATACAGAGAGTAACTAGAAACCACCAGGCCCTGGTG